AATCCTTTATCACAGATCTTTACCATATTCACCACATTACCCATTACTCCAGTTTTGTTACAACTAGTATTACCCTCTCAATCAAAATCCCCCAGACCACCTAGGGGTTATTGGTGCTACCCTGCCAATCGTGAATTTACATGCGCAACCTATTTTGCCCCAAAACCTTCTGCAATGACGCCCATCACACATAATACTGACTCTCTATGGCTAGATCTCCTTTCGGGAATTTCTATTCTAGATTCGTACTTCACTTGGACTTTCACGGGGCTCCATGTTCGATTTTTGGCTCCTTTAGATTACAGAGTATTTTTCGCTTCCAGCCTAACTCAAACCGTGGACCTTGACTTAACTTCCATGGGGGTTTGGCAACTTAACCAATAAGCTATAGAGCCCAAACCTGGATTATATCTTAAAATCAATCACTAGAAAAATCTAAATTAAATCAATCGTTTCAAACCACAATCTTTTTTAATTAACTCTTTTAATAAATCTTTTAAATGATTAAAAAAAAAAAAAAACAAAAAAAAAATTGAAAGCATATTTAATAGTAATCATGGTGCTTTGGTGATTTCTAAATTTTATCTAAGCAAAAAAAAAAATTCTTCTATATAATATTTCTTGCAATACCAAAAAAAACAACTCTAACAAATACTCAAAAATTTAAATTCTGTATTTACGCCTGTGATAACAAGAGAACCTATCCAGAATATGTAAAATGGATTAAGAACAAGTGGAGAATTAAAGTTAACAAGTCCACAATTACACAAATCTTGCAAACTAAGGATTAAAGGCTTTCAAATGAAGTTACAAGTCCAGAGACTAAGTATTATAAAGCTGTTGCTATCCCAAAGCTTGAGCTTGCACTCAAGAAATTTATATTAATATATCAGAATCATACTAGTCTAAGTGATGCTATGATAGTTGAAAAGGCCAAATTGTTAGCAGAGAAACTTGGTGTTTCTAAAGGCAAGTTGTATTTTTCAGCCAGGTAGCTTCAAAAATTTAAAGAACTAAATAGAATTCATCAAATAAAGCTTCATGGAGAAGCATCATCTGTTGATGAGGACATTATCACTAAATCTTTACCATTGTTACAGAATAAATGTACTAGATACTCTCTTGACTACATATATAATATGAATAAAACAGAACTTTTTTACTAGTAGCTTTTTTTTAAAAAAAAATTCTTTAATAGAATTTTTTTTAATAATTTTTTTTTATTGCGGGTTGGAACTGGATCAAACCTTAGCAACACAGTGAATTGCAGAGTGCAAAAAAAATAAAAACCATCTTTCTGTTGCATTATATGCAAATACTAATAGGTTCCACAAATTACCTCCCCTTATAATTGGCAAATATGCCAGACCATGATATTTCAAAATATAAAAATTAATAATCTGCATATAATATACAGAAATAATGCTAAAGCTTGGATACTTGTGGTTCTTTTCCAAAAATTGCTTCAGGAATTTGACTATCAGATGTTATGGAAGTATAATGATCAGCACGTTCTTTTACTTCTTGATAATTGCTCTAGTCATAAATTAGATGGTTTAACTCTTTAGCATGTAGATGTTCATTTTTTTTCTAAAAATACAACATCAAAGTTGCAACCAATGAATGCTAAAGTAATTATGGCTTTTAAAAAAGCTTATTATCGGTTTTATCTCTAGTTAGTTAGAAGTTGGTTTAAAAATTAGAATCATTTTTACTTTTTTATTTTATTTATAGTTTTTTTATAGTTAGCTATATATACTTAATGTTTTGGTTTTCATAATATAAAAATTTTTAAATAAATCTAGCTAGCTAGCTTTTTTTTTCTAAAAGTTTTTAAATTTTGACTTGGCCACGTTATGAAGACCAATTAATTTGCATGGTCTTATTAAATTAAATTTTTTTTTTAAAAATTTAGATGGATATTAGAGCAAGTAAAAGCAAGAAATCTCATTTAAAATCTGAAGATGAATGTTCTACAGACGGTTCTATATATTATAAAGGGCTGGGAAGAAGTTTTAGCTGATACTATAAGCAATTGCTGGAATCATACTCAAATTCTTCCACCTAGTGCAAGTTATTTGGATAATCTTCATGAAACTAATGATTTAGAGCTTAGAGATCTTATTAGTTTACTTGATATGCTTTGTCTTCCCAATGCAATGGAGGTTAATGAATTTCTTAATATTAACGGTAAAGAAGTTGTTTACAAAGTCTTTCCAGAAGATCAGAC